CAAGTGATAATAATAGCAGTAATAGTAAGAAACGGATTGTCATTATAATAACGGCGACCGTCGTTCCCATTATTTCTTGTGTGGCTATTGTCTCAGCGTTTTTCTACTTTAAAAACAGGAATAATAGGAAAAATAACAATAATAACAATAATCACACACTGAATATGAAGAGGTTTGACTGGTAAGTGGACTGCCCTATCAAATGATACAAACATACTCTTGCATAAGCCTACACACCGTTCCTGTTATATAATCATATGATGCCATAAATGTGATGTAGTCACCGATGTGTTTGTGTGTGTGTGTGTGTACTAGCATCCATGTCCTTTTATTTTATGTTGTTTGTTTGGTTTAATCCTGAATGTCACAACTTATGTGATCCATGTCCATTCATTTGAAATACCGTATATGGATGTTTTACTATAGCTATTAAATTGATTGTTTTACTAATAACTTAGTTATATTATAATATTTGTGCATTTTGTGTGTTGCTAATCAATTGAAAAATGTAAGTTTACATTAACTTTTCGCAGTGTTAAATGTGTTTATTATATTACATATAAGGGAAAGGCATCAAATTTTACAGACATAAATGAATGGCACAGGTGTTTTGTGTCACTCATATATTTGTATTAATACATATATAAAAATGAATATAATTATTGGCGAAGTAATTATTTTCGTATTTGCTGTCAATAAGTATTAGGAAAAAAGATTTGTATTAATACTCATTGCATTTAATTTGTAATTTTAATTTCGTAATCATTTTATTATACGTTTAATATAAACATGAGATTTTTATTTCTTTTAATCATTTCATATCTGTTGGTATCCATGATATTAAATATGGACTATAATCTCAAATTATTAATGCATGTTATGGTGAGATCTCATACCATGATGTAATCTCTAAGCATTCACATGAATAATTAGTTAACTATAAAATTATTTACTGTATGTATTTAAATCACTATATTGTATTGTAGTATTAGGTATTAGTACAGAAAATATTTTAATTATAATATAATACATTATGTATTTAATTTTTATTTACCTGTATATATATTTTAATAAATTAATTAGGTTTCAGTCACATTTGAGTATAATGTATAAGTCATACACAATTGTGTTTTAATTTTAGCCATCCTTACATAATATAGTTGTTAAGCAAAGAATAATCGTTTGTCGCAATTAATGTCTAAAAATAATTATATTAATAATTAAAATTAGATTCACTGACTCTCTCTCTCTCTCTCTCTCTCTCTCTTTCTCTCTCTCTCGTTCGTTCGCTCTCTCTTTCGCTCTCTCGCATCTAAAAATAATTATATTAATAATTAAAATTAGATTCACTGACTCTCTCTCTCTCTCTCTCTCTCTCTCTCTCTCTCTCGTTCGTTCGCTCTCTCGTTCGCTCTCTCGCTCGCTCTCTCGCGTACACGTAATAAGACTTACGCATGAATTAATGAATTATATACAAAAATAATATACAGTATAATAAGAAAATTATAAGACATTATTCATTATAAGACATTTACACACAGTTTTCTAAATACAATGCGTTTGCGTTTATATAATTGTGTATTTCTGATAATACGCGTAACAATAAACTCTAACTATATTTAGGTTTATATTATTGATCTCGCATTGAATTCAATGCAAAAGTAGTGCACAGAATATAACATTATAAAAGTTTGTAAAGAATTTTATATCAATTTATTATTATTTGTTAGAAAAAAATATTGTTAATAAAGAGACAAATCTATTGGTGAGAAATATTAGTTTTTTGTTGATTAAATAAATAATGAAATAATAGGCGACTAAATGAAAAAGTTTTCTAAAAGCACTTAAACATTATATAATATACGGTTTTTATTTTATATTATAAACATTAAAAAGCACAGTATGTTGTATCCATATGTGTACTGTAAATTATGTGTGTGTGATCAAGGACCATTAGCATAACCTGTGGCTGATATTTCAAAATATCGACAAAAAAGTTTTTTTATTATACTGTATAACATTTCATACATTCATTCATTTAAACATGTTTTCCTCCAAAAAATTCATTTTATTTATGCGAATATATTTTGTCTGTAAATACGGTCGAGACTCGCTATTAAAAGTATACATTTACTAGTATTGTATATACAGTATTATATATGTATAGACTTTACATTTACTAAAATATTAAATATTTTTAGTGAACAATAGGATGTATAAGAATTATGTAATACTTTATCCCAAATTTGTTATCTCATACATCGCTATAGAGACAAACTGTTAATTGTTATGAACAATAGGCTAACATATATTTTTAGATAAGAATAGCAAATATATATATACACGATATTTCTTAATACAGCGAAAAAAGTATCTATTATTTGATTTCATGTGGTATTCATTCACCGAAAAGAGAGAGCGCATGATCTGAGTATCTGTCGACTCGAGAGAGACTGCGAGAGACTCGGAGAGAGAGTACGAGAGAGAGAACGAGAAAATCCAAAACCTAAAGACTGAGAAAACTTCTCGATATAAGCGCACTGTATATATAAATGTGTAAAATTTGTGTTTAGTTTTATCATTCATTATATATTTATTCAATATATCAACACTAATACCGAAATCACTAATCAGTACTTATGTCTACTAATCGATTGTAAGACGTATTTATTTTTTGTGTTATTTTTGCTAATTTTATTAATTAATACTTTGAAAATATATTTCATAACTAACTAGTCTCTATTAACGTTTAAGTATTGAATTACTAGGTCATAGTTAGTAGCAATTAGTAATATTTTTAATATAGTATCATCTAGTATATTTCATATATTTAATTAACTTATCATTCATTTTATGATTAATTCTGTAAATATTTTTGAATAATTATGGAAAAAATATTCATTGTATCAAACTTTTGAATACTCCAAAACTTAAACACTAATAGAAAAAAGTTAGCTAAAAATATATACCATTTCTAAACACACTTTCCATAACTCATAGTCAATGAGCCTTAAAATAATGTGTTTAACGAGTGTTTAGCGTAGAAAACAATTTATTACTGTTTGCCGTTCAATGCGATACTAATATATAAATGAATTTTTAATTTTTCTTATATTGTCTCTGAATGGTGTCTATGGTTTCCTGTTTGCCATCAGTTTTGGTGTGAAAATACTGAAACAAATGCCGTATAAAAGTAAGTCAAGGAAGCGAAGGGTTGATAAGATGCCCACCGATGCCAACAGCGCCGTCATAGCCATGGAGGACGTCGTCGTACGCAACGCTAACAGCAAAGTCACGGCAAACCAGACCTCATCCGACACCACGAACACCACATCCCATCCCAGCGCGCAAACCCAGGCGCTTATGGACGCCAAACCCATACCGTTGCGCGACTTTCATCACTACTACCGCCTGCGACGGGCCGACTCGGGCCTCAAACTGGCCGAGGAGTACGAGGAGCTGAAGGACTGGCTGACCGCCAGGAATCGGACCACTAAAATCTCCCAGTTCACTATTAATAAACCCAAAAATCGTTTCGTCAATATACTTCCCTGTGAGTAGAAATGAGTGGATATTTTCTTACCATTAATCCCTTTTCGCATTTTATCCATTTTATCATTTATTTCGCTTTGGGTTGTGTTTTAAAGTGTTTTTGATTTGTTGCCAAACATTTGAAGCTAGCATTTATTTTATTTATAATTTCTTTTCGTAAACAGTATTTTTTAATGTCATTTGATTTCATTAAACTTTTTAATTATTTTTATCTCAAGGGTCTCTCTCTCTCTCTCTCTCTCTCTCTCTCTCTCTCTCTCGTTATTTAGTGCCAGTATATTAATAAATTGAGTTTTCAGGTTTTTTCAATTGTGCACAACATTTTTTGCTTATTAATACAATGAGGTATTAATACAAAACTTCCATTAAATAAGTCAATTGTGTAGCTTATGAATAGTGAACATCATAATACATAGAGTACCCATACCTGCAAATGCCCTACATTTGTACTTTAAATTCACTGTAACACTCTCTCTCTCCCTTTCCCTCCTCCCATATCTCGGGCTCACACCTAAAAATAGGCAACAATTCTCCGAAAATATAATTATATAAGAAAAACATGTTTTTTGATTATTATGTGTGAATATATTACAGACAAAAATCTAGCCTAACGTTCACAACGACTCCTTTAACTTGTAATGCATTTTGAAAGCAATTATTATTTAATAGCATTTCATAAATGTTTTAAAAATCAATTTTTTGTTCATTTAATTAAATAAAAGCAAACCCAATATTAATGTTATATATATTTTTAAGTTCTCCCGGTAGTTGTGATTCATTAAAATAATAAGTCAAATACCGTTAGTTTTATGTATAATATATCATTGATTCGTGAGATTGTATATCCATTGCATGGCATACCTGTGCCGCGCATATGACTACTAATACATGAAGTCAAACGTACGTCACCTGAGATACAA